TTCGTGTAATTAACTTTTATTTAAAATATAAGCCAAATACGTTAATTTTTGGTAGAAGAAACGAACCTTTTCCTTGCCGCAATATTTAATATATTATATCTGTGGGCATTTAAAAAGATCTTAAGTTATTCAAAAATTTGATCGAAAAGATTTTGATGGCATGTGACCTTATGAAGTACTCATTATTTATTATTGATTAAATATTTATTTTCAATATTATTTTCCGATCTACAACAATTATAATACAAATTACGAGTAAATCAGAAAAATACATTTTAGCGCAACACATTCATACAAGTAATATAAAATTGAAACAGTTTACGTGCATTTTTATATTTCCTTGTTTATTCATTTTTTTTCTTCTTTTTTTATTTTTGACGCGATTATTCAATCCTGATAGCTAAAGTCATCGGGAACGAGAAAATAAAAAACGAAATTCTAAAAAAAGAAAACCAAGGCGAATAACGTATTTTCAATTAAGCTTTTCAACACGATTAGACACGGTTTACAGACAGCTATAAGAAACGTAACAACATCAAATTCAACGACAAAAGAGAAATGATTCAGATTGTTGTTGTATTTGTTGTCTATTGTTGTTGTTCTTATAACATTGTTATGCGCTGAAGGATGTTATGCAAATTCGTAAGCATTTCACAATACAAATACAAGCAGAAGAACAAAACTCTTTGAGTCGACAATTGCACTGCTGCAATGACGACGCCGATGACGACACGGCAGCAACGAAGACTAAGAAATTTTTCAGTGCATAGCTATTATAGATCAGGATTTCGATTTAGTTTCGCCTTTTCTTTTGCTTTCTTGTGTTTGCTTTTGTTTGCGTTTTATTGTTTTTCCGATTTTGTGACTGTTGTTGTTGTTGGCTAAAAATTTTCTAAATTCTGAACAGAAGAGAAATGTAACGTGTAACATGTTTTTCTTGCTTATTGTCGTTGTTTTTGTAGTTGTTTTTGCTGTTAGTTTAAGTAATTTGATTAAAACCCAATACGAAAAGTGGAAAAAAACAGCAGAAGAAGAAGATGCAGCCAAGTTTAACTAATCACGAATATTTTTAGTCAGTCTGCTAATACCGAGTGCAATCCAAGGAAGCAACACAAGCATTGCTGTGTAAATTTGTGAAAAGCATACAAGGGTTCCCGACGTAGACATTTGTTTTGTGTTTAGGGTTTTTTTTATTCTTTCCATTTAAGACGACACGCTGCTGATGTTGTTGTTAATATTGTTACTTAGAGTTTACTAGAAAGAATGTATGTTGTATCTATTGTCACTGTTGCATGTCTGACAACGGGCGGTATACGTAATTAACCAAGGCTTTTCCTGTACACACATACATACACGAAAAGCACAAATCACTAGCAGATAAATTTTTCTTCATCTTTTAAGCTTCCTTTTTAGTTCGTTTGTTGCTGCTTACTCATTGCTGAGTTAGTATGCATTCTTTTAATAGACACTTCGTCTTTTTTTTTTATTTTATTTATCGTTTATTTTTTTCGGTTGCTCTCTAAAGTGTTGAAAATGCCGAATGATTCAAAGCCAGCAGCTGGTGCCACCGCCGTATACATGTTTGCCCATACAAACATATGTACACATCACATAACTAATATAAGTTTACAATGGTGATACCAATGATAATGATGATGACGATGATGGTATGATGTTCAAATGAACTTTGTGCATAAGTGTTTTTTCTTAGCAGAAACTAAGACAACCAAAACAAGAAACAGTAATATTGTCACATGATTTGCTTTTCCAAAATAGCAACAAATAAGTTGGCAAAGTTGAAGTTTTTGTTTCTTTTTTCCCCCACAAGCGATATACAGTGTGACTAATGAGCTTACAAAATGACAAATTTTTCGCCCTTAAAACTCTTTCGTTTTATTTCGCATTTATTTTTTTAAAGTTCTCAAAAAGCCATGTTTGAAAATCATTGGCCAACAACCGCACTAAAAACAAAAATTGTGCAGACACGTTTCCTTGAGTTTACGAAAAACAACGTTAACTATTGTTTGTAGAAATGGTTAAAAATCAAACAAAACCAACTTCAATACTTGAAAAAAATTTAACAGATAGGCTCAAAACGACTCTTTTGATATCTACCATCAAAAGTATTCTAATATACAAGTGGCCCAAAAAATAAGAAAAAATTAAATATGAAATGAAATGAGACGAGACGAGGAAAGATAAAAAATAAGCGCATTGAAAAATTTTAATTTTTTGCCTTCATTCTGTGCGAAATATTGTGAACTCTCCCTCCATGGTTTAGTACAATTTTCAATGTAACTTTTCTTAAAATTAAGCAGAGCAAAAATGATTTGCTGTGCTTCTCTGCTCGAATGTCCTGAACGTTATAGTAATTTTATGAGGCAAACATCTCTAAACCAAGCCAATCAAAGCCAATGTATGCCTTTCGTGAGACATTTGTACGCTTCTTGTGAATGTGATATACCCGATGACAAAGATAGTATACCTACTCTTGACGGATAAATTGAAGAACAAAACCATTCGTTAAGAATCTTGTTTAACAGTTTTGCTTTATGCAAATTACGTTTTTCTTGTTCTTGTTCAAATAATTCTCCTTCTTCTTTTTACTTTATAATCCAAAAAATAACAACAACTACTCAACGTTTAATAAGTGTCACTTGTTTAACAATTTAAAAAGAATATTTTTTTTTTGTTTTCCATATATCTAAGCGGATATTTTCTGTTTTTCTCCCCAAACAGTTGTCACATTATCATCATTAACGTCAATTTAACATCCACGACTTTGCACGAAAATAATCCGAAAAGCATTTGTGCGGTTTTCTTGCGTTTTTTTCTCGCGGATATAAGTATTATTTTAAATGCTTTTCTCTGTTTGTGTGTTTGCTTTTTAATATACAACATTCTTTCGGTTAATTAAATGTTTTCAGTTTCTAAACCAAATTTTTGGTCAAGTGAATTGAATTAAATTGAAAAATTCTTCAAGATTTGTTCAATTGCTGAAATCATTCATTTTGCGGTTATATTGAAATTGTAACGAAAACAACATTGCAAAATGTTGTCACACACATATGGAGGCACAAATATAACGTCAGAATCCAGGGCTGGACAAGGAACTTTCATGAAAAGCTTTCATTTCCCATGCTAACGGTTATTAGTTAGTTTTTAATCGGTCACCAAACTTTTTAGATTGTATGGATAATAAAATCAAATTGAAGCCGACATATAAGAGCGGTTAAGGAATACGAAAGATCGACTGAAAGTCTTACATAAATCGTAAAGTAATTTGTAAATTTATATAATTGGTGGCATAATGAAGCATAATGGAGCGTTAACTCCTTTTCTTTAGTTTATTATGCAGAGTTGGTTAACGTGGAAGAATGCATTTTTGTCCTTATTCGCCCAAAAATTTCATTAACCATTCACACTCGTGATTGTAAAATTGCACACAAGGACGCAGTAGTTTAAGTAAGCCCAAAAACTTGTAGACGGTGAAATACGATGTTAATAACGTGGGTGCGGTATATTATGGCATTTCGATCATGGAAAGATCAGTAAAAGCTAAACAATTCACTCTGTACTTCCGATAACACGAATTATTCAGCATAACTAATTTTAAAAAAATTTTTTACCAAATGCAAAGTAGCACGCAAGTCAGTTTTTATATCAAGGTTACGTTTGGAGCTCTTCTTCAATGAAAAAAAGAAAAGAAAATTAATAAATTATTAAAGATCAGAAACAAACGTGAGAGAGTCTTACTTTTATCATCATCCTTCTTACGATATCATTTACGATATAAAGAAAACTTTTAAGCGAGATGGCCTTTGAAATTACAGGTCGTTTGGAAAAACACAAAGACACTACACGTTATCCATTCTCATATTCATTATTACATAAAATTATGTACAAGATTATGAGTATGCGGACAAGTTACATTTTTTTGGAAATATTTAATCAGATCACTTAAAGCCAATTATAAACTTAATATGCTTACTTGCTTTTTCTTCGCATGATAAAGCATTGCGAGAGGGAAAAGAGTGAAGAGATGAGTTTCTTAATGCCACGAAATTTAAAAAACGCAGCGGGCATAAAGCCTGGTAAAGCATGAAAGCAGCATCGCTAATAAATCTTAAAACTGTAAAGCTTTGGCTTGTTGAGCGGAACTGACTGTTCTTGAAAGAATATAACGAAGAAGAAAGAAAGAATAAAAAAATACCGATTGCAAAAAGTAGATAAATTACTTATTTGGGAGGTCAACTTCCAAATCATTCAACTCCACATAAAATACAACATGCATATCATCACTTGGCCTAATATACGCCGAGAATCTTATTATAAGTGGATCGATCAGCTGCTTTAGCCTGTGTATATTTAACATATGTATTTATAATCAGAAGCCTCGAAAATTAACCTTAACATTACAAATTTGTAAGAATGTAAAGTGTATTCACATCGCTGTGGCCCCTTTATGTGTGCGCGTATGCGTGTACAACACGGCCACGTCTCATTGCACTGCCTGTGCCGTCGTTGTTTTAATTTAGTTGCACGTTAAGATTAATTAATTTTCAACTCATTTAACAAAATGTAAACTTTTACCCAGATTACGAATACAATGCGATCAATAATGCCATCACATCGCAGATAAACATAGAATGAAAGGCGGAGGGTGCATACTGAAGTATAAAAGAAAACAGAACTAAGAAGGCATCTTGCATTCGCACACAGCGGGACTCAGCACGCACGCATTGGATTGTATGCTTGCTCCCAGGAAAACTTTGTATAAGTTTTCTTCGACTTCTTTAAAGAAGAATTGCAAACAGTTTTAATCGATTTTTCATATCTAAGTTGCCTTTGAATTTTTTTTTTTTTTTTTTAGTAATTTTGTATATTTGGCATAAATTTATGGTTAGGGGCAATGTGTGTTAGTATGTCCACATTATTTTCTTTCTTTTTCATATAAATTCTTTGAATTTTTGCTTGCTTTCGTTTATTTTTTCATAAAGTTGTCGTCATGGTTGGCAAGGACCTTTGTGTAATGAATGCAAAGTTTATCCAGGCTGTAAACACGGTTCTTGCGATGGCACTGCCTGGACCTGTAGATGCGATACAAATTGGGGTGGCATATTATGCGATCAAGGTAAATTTATTATATTTTCTCCCTCTTTTCTTTTAGAACAAAATTACAAATTTCCAGGCGTACGTGGAAAGTCAGAAATCATAAGTGGAAAAAAATAAAATAACAAATATAATCGTTATTTCGATTTCTATTTCTGATGGAATGTTAATTTGTAATTTAACTATTCAATAAATTCTACGCTTATCATACGTTGATTATTGTGATTTTGCAAAATGTTTATCCCTATACTATTTTTTTTAGTTTAATTTTGTTCTCATACTTATTTAGTTCATCTATATATATGCGCGGATATCTTATAACTCTTCTTGTTATGAATTTGTATGTGTGTTTAGATTTAAATTACTGTGGCACTCATGAACCCTGCAAACATGGCGGTACTTGTCAGAATACTGCACCTGATAAATTTCACTGCACTTGTGCTGAGGGCTTGTCTGGCGAACGTTGTGAAATCGTAGAGCATCCATGTGCTACACAACCGTGCAAAAATGGTGGATCGTGTACCGTAAAGGTACGTACTCACATGTATGCCCTCATATACTTATGTTTCAATGTTATTTTTATTATGCGTGCAGCATGCATTCATAATACTATGCATGTACGGATATATGTTACACATTGCAAGATACGTTTATTGTTCATATGTTGATATGTCATTTATACATATATCACTGGATAAAAAAGGAATATTTAGATGAAAAATGGTTTCAAAAATTAAGCGTGTCATAGAGTTCATGGCTGAACGTGATCGAGAGAATACCGCATTCCGCGTTCCTCTGCTATGCTCCTAAACTTTTTGATGCGCTATATCCAAATCGCTACTTACAGATACTTTATAATAGGAGTGCAGTTTGCTGCCTGCACTCACAAATAAAAGAACGTACAAAAGGTGTATTGAACTGATTAACCGATAGATTTCAAAAAATTGGCAGAGTTAGGAAGTTTTCAAGCAAACAATAAGCAAAAGCAGCTCTGAAGGCGACCGCTATGCATTGCGCATAAATTAGTATAGAAAAATGTGATAGTTACGCTGAACTCAAAATTAAATTGAACTAATGAGATAGGAGTTCATTCAAAATGTAATAATGCGAAAAGACCCGAGCGCAGAAGTAGATCTCGGCGTTATTATCTACTCGCGTAATTACGTTTTCATTTCTAATTTGCTTTTATTCAATAGAAATTGGAAAGAAAAATGGATGAAACAGTGTTTAGACATATTCCCCTTATTAGACGTAGTATTTAAATAAGAAACCGATTGCATCTCAGACAAAGTTGATTGGGATTTTGTTTACATTTTTGACGAATCAATTCGCATATAAAATTATGACGCAAGTTATAATTAAAATCTTTGTGAAGTAAAAAAAGGGAATAATAAACTTACGAAACAAATAAATGTCCTCAGCCAAAATCTTAAGCCGTTCTAAGCGTTCGTAGTGTAAACTTTAGCGATCAAAACGACAGCACGAAGATTATTCTATTCATGCACTTATAGATATATAATTTAAGGAGAATCTTGATTATTATTTAATGTTTCGAAGCTTAATTTTTTGAATAGCTATAGTAACTGCAAGCAAATTCAATTCAATTTCCATCTCTTCCTAAGAAATTTTTATTTTTATATAATAAAGTGGCTTTAATCTAATTATTTTCATATTTGGTGCATGTAATATACTTTTTCCTCAGACGCTTGTAGACCATTGCAATCATTCGTAACCTGTCTAAATATATTATTGGCTGTAGCAGTAGTTGTTGTATGCTTATAAAGTTTATTTTCCAAGCAAAGTCTCCAGTAGACTAATAATTTTCTTGAGCTTTTAGGTGTTTCTATATATACTATCTTTAACTAATTTTCATTCAACGTACATTACTTTCATACTGGCGTTGGCCATTCAGTCAAGAGCAAGGTGAAAAGCAAAAGACTTGATCAACAAACTGCGTATATACTTACTAGCGCAGATGATGTGTGTGCATATGCTTGCAGTATCAAACAAGTATTAAATACTCTCTGACAATCATTTATACATATGCATTTGCGTACGCGTAGTCTACGTATGTTAGGCTTACAAACATATTCTTTAGTCCGTTTGTTCATTTACTTCTAGTCTATTTATTCTCTCTACGCTCTAATGTATTAAACTATTATTATCTGGAAAAGACTTCTGATATTAAAGTATATATGAATAACGTGGTATGTTATTTTTATTGTTGTGCATGCACATCATGTACAAAAGTACAAATCTTTATTATAGTTTTAATATTAATTTAATGCTTCATACATTATTCTGTATGTATAAGTCATAAAGCATCCGCGGATTTGCTGCATTCGAAATGAAGATAAAAAGAAAATAAAACAGGAAAATGAGAGGCAAACGAAGAGGATTATAAATGGTTTGAAACGAATTTTCAATACCTTTCAATTACCTTCTAAAAAATTTAATGTAATTTTTATATCCTTTCCAAAAGGATAGGGTTGAATAAAGAAGCTTATCCGATAACATTTATTTAAACTATGTCCCGAAACTAGAGATTCTAATGTTTATGCTTAGTAAGAACGTTAAAGACAACCTCAGCATATTTTTGCTGAAACGATAAACAGCTTTAGTAAAGTTAATGAAGGTAAGAGAGTAACAATATCTTTTCCTACCAAAAGTAATGTATATGGCTCGAACAATCACCTGTGCCTTGTACTACACATGTACGTCCTTTTACAAAAACATTCACATCATGTACACCTTATAAACAAGCCAATGCATGCTTATGTGTTAGCATGAGTGAGTGCTCCGACGCTGTTTATTACAATTTACTTTTAAAGCCTAATATTAACATCTTTTCGTATTATATTTAAGTACTCGTGTATGTATGAGCGATACGTACGTGTACGATATATAATGCATATATACATTATATGTTGCATATAGAATGCTTTTGTGTTTCATGATGTCTGTCTTGTGTGTAAAATACATTATAGGAATCAAAAATAACCACTATACCGCCGTATCGTGCAATGCGTGGCATGAGTGCAGCTATGGGGAAACCAGTTAGCGGCTACAATTTATCGTTGACGCTGCAAGGATTAGCAAAAAATAACAGCAGCAATTCAAATGCGAGCAGCAGCAGCAGCTTAAACAACTACCATCAACACATACCACCACCGGTCTCTGAATTCACTTGTGCATGTGCGCCCGGTTGGACTGGTCCAACATGCGAAATAAGTAAGTTTTATATGAGCTTATTGTGAATATTAATAATATATTTTTATGTACACATTTCTTTTTTTATACGCTCGTGATTTGTTCATTTTTTTTTTTTTTATTTGCTGCGATTTTGTCTTGTGTTGAAACCATTTCGCATCGGATTTCCCCGAGACATTTCAAAAATTTAAACGCATTTCTTAACGGCTTCGTTTGTACGCACAAATAATATAGTAAACAAAGTGATTTATTTGCAGATCGAATTAATGTTCCCTTCATCTCTCTTCTTAAAAATCTTTAGTAACATCATTCATTATTTGCCTTATTTTGAGTTTGTTTTCCGCTCAAACTAACAAACATGGAAATATGCGCTTGTAAGTTCAAATCAAATATTTATATATTTTCACATGTACACGTAATGTGCATGTGCTCACGTTGCGCATGAACGTTTGCTGATATTATAAAGCCGTTTCAAAAATTTAGTCTCGATTTTACTTTCTATTGCGTTGTCTGTTTAGGTATTATGCAAAAACTTTAAACCAATTTACTCATCTAAAATGAGTTGATTTTTTTGTTTGTGCTTGTAAGATTTGTTTTTAAAATACTTATATACATCGTGTGTAAATTTTTGTTGCATAACTGATATTATTTCTGGCATTAGATATGCAACATTCACTTGTTTGTTCAAAACACTGATTAAGTTGTTTTAATGAATAAAAACAGAAAAATTCATTTAAAACATTTCTACCAGTTTATGTGGTTGTGGTAGGTGCGTCTCTTTATTGACATTTGTTCATATTATTGACGAACACAAAAGACTTATAATGTAAATTCGATTTCACGTCTCTATCCCGAGTAGGATTAAAGGATGACTACCTGTGCACTTGCAATATAAGGAAGAGCTTCTGAAACGATTCCGTGCCTTGCCAGCAACCATTAGCAATCATATCTTAAACGACAAGTTAATGTACGGATAGCTCGATTTATTTCTACGTTCGTAGCCAGCAGTGCATTGCTTCGAGAAGCGCCGAAAAGCTTTAATTGCTCTCATTCCCACCCCCCTTCCCCTAAATATTTCAGCGTTTCCCTTAACTATCAAGCGAATTTCATAACCAAATATTGAATTATTTTCGACAAGAACTGGTTCAGAAGCTCTGGCACCGAAGCGAGTATTTTTACTTTATCAATATGTTTGTTTCTTATGTTATGCACTCCCAGCAGAATGCTCGCAAATATTTGAAATTTATAATATAACAATTTAAATGAACCTTAAGTAATCCACAGAGTTTGAAGGGCACAATATATCGTTCGACATATTCGATATAGAATCGGGGTAACCAGCGTAACAGACTAAAAATCTGGAATAACGTGTTTGATATTTCGAGAGGAGCGTCAGAAGTACTTCTCTTTCATGCCGCCGATTCGCTAGCGCAGAGATAATGTTCAGTTTTGACGCCAGCTTTGTATCCTCTTTGGATTTCTTCATTTTAATAAATACTTAAAAGCAGTCATTTCACTAAAGCAATCGATGCTCATCGTAACATAAAATAAAAGAACGCACAAACATCTCATATGCTTGCGAAGAAAACAAAACGACAATAAAGCTGCAATAAAAGCTGCCAAAGTACCAACAATCGCAACAACAATACTTAAAAACAAACGACCTGAACGCAGGACGTGAAAATTAAAAACAAAAACGTCAAAACTTGCTCTAAAACGCGAAATTTATGCAGAAACAAACGGCATCATATACGAAGATGTGAACATATGTGAGAGTGCTCGAAACAAATTTTTGAATAATTATCCGAAAGAAAAGTCGCATTGAATATTCATAGAGAATATGACTTTCTTTTAACCTTTTGTATGTTCAACAAATTTTGTAAATATTGTAAAGGAAAAGAAAATTTTAAACGCGTGCAAAACTTCCTAAGACAGTTGTTGCTCAAATAATTTTTGAAAACATTGCTTTTAACGAAGAATTTTTCAAAAAAAGTGTGTAAAATGCCAGGAAACTTTTTAATTCATACCATTTATTATAAAGAAACAAGCAACGTTTGCATTTCTTTATTCGCACCGCACTGAAATCTGGATGCATAACACATTTATATTTCCTTTCGCAACATTCAGATAAACAAGAGTCGCTCGGCCAATAGGAATTGAGAGAACAACTTGACATCTGAGAAGTCGTGATTTTTACTTATTTACTTAGTATAAAAATTTATATGAGAAAACGACAAAAATACGTTAGGTTGTGGTAGTTTTGAATACTTATAGCACAAGAAAGACTTCATCTAAACTCGCCCTACTTTTCTAACAAAACTGCTTGTGATCTGAACGTTTTCTTATACGTATTACCCGAAGATTCGTGCATATAAGTAATCATAGAATATTAATGCCCACCTACTTTTTATGTAAAGGCACATACACGCAATAAACACATATTTTCGAGTTTCTATGAACGATCGGGTTTTTAAATTGATATTAACCATGCAGCCAAAAGCCGTAATTAGGTGTGCTGCAGTGGGTTCTTCATTTTTTTCTTTTGTTTTGCTGTGCGTAAGAAAATAGATATTTTTCCTCTGCATTGATTTATGTATCTGGAAAAAGAAAAGAAGAACAATGGTGCTCACCAAAAGAAAAAGCCAACTTGCAAGAGAAAACAATTATTGGGCTTAGTCTACTAGTTAAACTGATTTCAGATGAGCCAAATTTGTACATTTAACCCAGTTTCCACTGACGTGCTATTAAATTGCTTTTAACAAATGTTATTTTTTGCGTTTAGCAATACTTTATTAATTGCAGACAAATCTGCACAAACGTTTTTACGCGAAATAGTGTGCATAGCGTGTCTTGTTTAATATAAAAGTTAAAAATGTTGAAACTAGACGTTAAAGGTCTGCCTTTCTATGCTTCCTTTCCTTCTTGTTCGCCCATTTTTTTGAAAAAGCTTTCTTGAATATTTACAAGAACCTTTATTTTGTTGCTGGTAAGTCGATATGCTTGTAGACAAGACGTCATAAAATTAAGATTCTCTTAACACGCAATATTTAATCATTATTAGGACAATAACCACAGTAACAATGAAAAGAAAAAAAAATGAAGTAAGAGTGGTTGAGAAATGACTAAAAATGCTCTTAACACCTTTTCGACAAGACCCCTCATTTGTCATAACATATAAAATATTTTAAAAGCATTGTTAAAGCATTTTCACACATACACATGTACTTTTCTCTACTCAATCTACACTTGTAGTTTGAATACACTAAGCGCAACAGCACACTTGCATGTACACACAATAATAATGATGATTGTACTAACAAATTCGGTAACAAAGAAATGTATTTAAAAACAAAAAAAAAAAAAAAAAAAAAACTGAAAAGAAGGAAAAGATTTCACATACGACGTCTCACTGTTACACACTGTTGGGTTACCATACACATGTGCCGTCTGTGCTTGTGTGCTTTGAATGTTAAAGCGTTTACTTTACAAACTGTTTTTACAAGAAGTACACTAAACGTGTACTTCAAATCGCAAGATACTACTCATACACTCGCTTGTTATACGTGTTATGCATGCAATATGTTACAATGTACGTCTGCGCGTAAAAAGATGCTGTACGCATGACGGGAACGGTGGCTGATGGTGTGCATTTGTTCTGTCTCTCTTTAAGTCTAAATATGCTTTAAAACTATATTTACGCGACAAAAATCTTAAGTACACCATAAGCAAGTGTTAAGATTTATCTTTATTTTCTTGTTGGTGTTATTGTCATTATTGTTATAAAATTTAAGGCTTTTTCGGCTTTCGGTTTACTTACAGCGTAGCAAGCTAGTCATTGTGCAGAGTGTGTGCTTGTTGTGTTCATACTATTTGCAAGAAACTCTTCTGAATTAGTTGGCAATTAGTCATACGCATATTTGTACGTGTATTGTATCGCATGTAAACTTTAATGCTTAAATGTCATTTTAAAGTTTGTTTACACATTTCTCTTCCCATTTAAGCTTTATTCACTTTAACATTTCCTCGCTTTTTCCTTTAATTTGTTTTCAACTATATTTGAAAAGCACTTGAGCATGATTCTACCAAAAAAATGCAAACGTAATGTGCTGTATGCTAAGCCTTCTTTGAATATTTTATTTGTGACAGACACTCTTCAGAAAAGCCTTGTGTACTGTTGTTGACGATGTGGAACGTGTGAAGGCAAACTTGCTTAAAATTTTTAATACGTTGCTTTGTGTGTGCCCATATTTGCGTGGATATTTTTGTATCTAAGTAACTGCGTAGACAAATTAGAGAAACGTATTTCAAGATAAACGCTTAATATGATACGAATAATATTTAACAAACACAATTAATGAAAACGAATTATGAGAAAAAAGAGCATAACTAAGAACATTTATACATATTCAACAAAACATTAAAAGACTAGGGGGATTCACGGCAAGTGATCGTTAAATTTTCTAGACAAATTTGCAATTTGCGAACCTATGAGTGTAGGCTACAAAAAAAAGTGGTAAGGGGAATATTTTAATAGACATAACGTAATTAATTAAAAACCGAAATTTTCTACTTTTCCTCTCTCAGATGAAACTTTTTGCTACTAGGTCGGTTGTCTTCGCTAATCACACTGGGCTATATTTTAACTCGAAAAAATTCGTGTGTGGTGCTTTTAAATTGGTTTATTTGGGCGTAAGGCCGCAATATGTAAGGCTGTGAGATAAGGGCTTGTACTTTACATATTTAAATTTGCCGGCAGCTTAAGCAGAAGATAGTGAAGCTTTACCGTTTATGAAAAATAGAGCTATGTGAATTAATATTATTTTGGGTAACACTTCCTCAGACTTTGGCATATACGTTCTTACTTTTTGTGAGCAAACTGACCTGTCAATGAAAAATTATATGAGTGCTTAGGCGTGGAATAAATTACTAAGCACAACTAAGACTTCTTTATGAGAGTAATGTGTTTCTTTTTTTTTTACTTTTAAATCGAGCGTTCTTCCGGACATGATGTAATCACTTATCACTAAGTAGTTAATTTAACTTTAATTCGAATGGTCGAAATAATTTCTTATCAATATTAAAAGCAATCAGACCCAGTTAAAATTGTTCAATTCACTAAGCAAAATATGAATAAGTCAAACCAACCTAGTAAAATAAAGTGATTTAAGGAGAAAATAAGAACAAAAACATTTCAAGAGTGTTTGATTGCTGCTGTGGCACCACCGACCTCTTTGAGCGCATAAACATGTCCCTCAATACTAATTGTATTTATTTAATCACGCCACAGATAAAAAACTGAAAACAAAAAAAAAAAAGACAGAGAAAATGCAAACATTAGATTTCGAAACTAAAGATAAAAATGTCGACACTCATTGAAAAGACATCACTCAATTGAAAATGTGAAGAGTAAAAGCAAAAACCATACGAACTTAATGTAAATAGTTACACACCAGCGCAGCTATATTGAAAAACACACACAAAAAACATTAAGAATTTCGATATTAACAAGACGCTGCTCGAATGGTGGCACTTGAAAAATTAAACAAAAAGGATTAAAAAACGTTTGAAGAGGTTTTAAAAAACTTAATGCAACGGGCAACAAAAAAAAGCAAAAAGCATGAATAAAAACTCTCTCTCCACTTTGTAGTGGGGCAAACTGGTTTCGTTATAAAATGTTTTGCGTTTTTCGTTTCTTTCGTACAGATATTGATGAGTGTGCCGGTGGGCCCTGCGAACATGGTGGCACTTGCATCGATCTAATCGGTGGTTTCCGTTGTGAATGTCCACCCGAGTGGACGGGCGATGTATGTCAAATTGATGTAAACGAATGCGAAATCACTTATCCGGCTGGCCAAGTTACGGCAACATCAACATTGCGTACTTCGACGGCTGTAGCCGCGGCCATAGCTAGTGCGAGTACCTCATCATCGTCATCGGCCTTAATTGCTGCTTTAAACGCTGCCTCATCCACTTTAGCCGCAGCAGCTGCAAATGCAACTGCCACACAAATGGGTCCATGCATTAACGCACGCAAGTGTGTTAATCTGCCTGGTTCATTTCAATGTATTTGTTTGGAGGGCTGGGGTGGCCCCACATGTGCAAAAGATTTCGATGATTGCGTGGGCCAATGTAAAAATGGTGCCACATGCATTGATTTGGTGAATGATTATCACTGCGCCTGTGCGACTGGATTTACAGGTAATTATCATTAAGCGCTATACGCACACCAGGTATATACTAAAATTAAAAAGAAAAAAACCAAATATTAATCATATTAAGAATCAAGTAAACGAATAAAAAACAAAAAGAGCTAAAAACGACAACATAATAAAACAAATAAACTGTTATGTGGTTCTAGTTTACTTACCGACATTATATGTGTGCTTACTTACCGTAAAGAAAAGAATAATATGTTGAGCTAATTACTCTGCTTGCAATTCGCGATAAAAGGAAAGCGCAACATATTAACATCCATTCAATTCATCCAATCGATATGACAGACTGATGCAATTTTATTGTCGGTTATGTTGGATTTATAGCTAACTATTAGGAGCGTTCTTTCTCTCTGCGATTAGCTCTTCATGTGAGACATGGTTATGAGCCGACGAAGAGTGTCGAAGTTTCGTTACACGTCCATTGCAGATTTATCACCTGCCTTTGTACTTGCACTTAATGTCTTTAATATGGACGACTGCATGTACAGTACAATATGTGTGTGCGCGTTTTTAAAGTATTTAATTTTCAAGCGCTCATTGGGGACTTGCGGTGATGGTTGTGGGCCGACTGGCTATATGTTGCGTTACATTTAATTTCAGTTTCAAATTTGAAGAAAAAAAGATTGAATTAAATTTTATGTGACTAGATTTCTTCATAAGCCTTTTTGCTATGCGTGCGTTTAAGTGTAAGTTTGTTCGCTGAATTTTTCACAGCTTATACGTTTATGTGCCTTAATTTTTTCTACACAAATTATTAATGCTTTCAGGTTTTTTTATTTTTGAATTTTCTTTTTTGTCCACATTTTTTGACTTTAATTTTTTTTTAACGAATCTGTTTTTTATACTTCAGGTCGCGATTGTGAAACAGATATTGATGAATGTGCTAACTCGCCGTGTCGTAATGGTGGCGAATGTGTGGACATGATTGGTAAATTTAATTGCATTTGTCCACTCGGCTACTCCGGTACATTATGCGAGGTAAACATTTTCCTTATTTTTTGTAATTTCTTGAGTGAGCAATTCCATTTAAGTAGTCCATCAGCTTAAAGCCAACTGAGTATAAGTACAAATTTGCAAACGTTCAGCCGTGAAATTCCAAATGTGTTCTAAAGTTAAAGTTTAGAGTTTTAATAAGACTTTTTGAAGACATTGGAAGCTTGATGGTTTTAGTTTTTACGCAATCTTGATGGAAGTTTTTCCAGATAACATCTAACACCTATTGCGGCTATGTCCATTGCTTGATTATGCGTATGTGTAAAATTAGCTCTCAATCCGCACTCAAAATTTCGTTCTCATCAATCTATCAGCGGAATATTAATAATAAAATTCTATAGATTGCCATTAATCTTGCGAAGTAACGCTTATAGAACACAGATCTAAACATATAGATCTAAAAACTTTGCCTTTTCATCGCAAACTTATGTTAATTAATGAAAAATTATGCCAATCACAGATTTTCTGCTCTAAGATCTCTAAGGGCTTTGGTCACCGCCTGCAGTGAGTAAGAATTCTTTGAAACTTAAATTTTATTTTGCTTCCAAATTATATAAGTAATCAGTGCAAAAATTATAAATGTCTGAATGCTACATAAAAAGCTGTAAACCTAAATGTAAAATGAGAACCTTTATGAAATTACTTATTGCCATTTTGGATAAACTAGATTACACCCTTATGCTCCTCTTACCACACTTGAATAATAATCGATCGCACTAGTGCCTGTTGGTGCACATTAATCAACCAAAGCCACTAACATTTACAGCACTTTTCCAAAATAAAATCCTTTGCAAATGTTGTTGGAAACGTCATTTTGTTTTGTTAAAATCAATTTTAAAAAAATTCTTATGAATTAGTATGGTATTGAGATACTTTTTTATCGAACTGCTTATATATATTTTCAAAGTTTATGCTTTAGGTTTTTTATTATAAAGAATACATATATTTTCACCATTCGCTCTGATTCAAAGAAGGCTACTGTAATCTGCGATTTCACTAAGATTAAGTTCAAAGTATTTAAAAACAAAAAAGTAAACATAAAAGGACATAAAGTAAAAAAGTCATACATCAAATATAAAATTTCAGTATGTGGAAAACGTATGTTCCATAAAAAAGAAACCATTTATAAGCAAATAAACAATGATTAAAAAACTTTAACTATCTTTGGCCAATAAAGCCGTTTTCGATTCGAAGCAAATTTTGACTAGCCAGCCCTAACATTTTCTCAACTCTATGGCTAATTGTAAAGATTTTTCCAATTGTTGCTATTGCAAACAAATGTGATATCGTTTTGTTTTTAAGGTTGTAAGAGTTGCTAACAGATTTCTTTTAATGTATTTTTCCTTCTCGGGCCTGAAGTACGCAATTGAACCCGGAATACAAATTTCAACTCTATGTTTCAATTTTCGCAACCTCAGGAATTACAGCAATAGGCAAAGCAAATTGTAGTGCGGTTAAGCTTGCATATGGAATGCATGGTTCTTTGATTTAGGAAAGAAGTGAAGAAATTAGCATACCTCCACTCCGCAATGTAAGGCATAGAATGCTTAATGAATTAAATCCGTACGGACACGTGAGAAAATATTTATAAAGTAAAAAAGAGAAGATAGGTGTTTATGTGTATGCGGTCTCTTGTAGTGAAGAGAAGACGCACTTCCAATCAATACAGTCCCATTTTCAATGAACACAAATATTCACACATCCACAGGGACAAGCTATGCGGTTCTTTTTGTATTCTCGTCACAATTGATTGCTCGTAATGCGATTAGTGTTAAAAGGTATTAAAGCATCAAATTCGTGTGACAGATTGTGATATATATATGTATACATAAGTTTGTACGTATACATAAATGACTTTACACAAGCATTGGCACGCATGTGAAGCATACGTATGAGAGTACGAAAGAATCCAGGCAACATTTATCGGTTGATTGCAGATTTATTTAAGGTTATACAAAACGTTTTATTGACTTTTAATATTGAGTCAACCCGTCAAATTCGCTTTATTAATTTTCGTTTATAGGAATTGATAGCATGTTTGGTTTGAACCGCTGAAGACAACTTCTTCTAAACTAATAAGTTTATTTAACTGCTTCACGGGAATTATTTGGAAATTCTACGATTTTACAAAATCATTTTAATTTACCTGGATTTCCTGTTGTAAGGGCTTTTTATACCTTAAACTACTTGTGTACAGAGTATACTAAGTTTGTGCAGATGTACCTTGCACCCAGAACGACTTAGCGTATATCCATCCTTTATTTTGCAGAATCATTTTTTGTCTGTCTGCCTGGTATCTGCTTATCTATTTTTGTGTTTGCCCTAACGCCCCAAAGGCATGACCACTGCACTATTTCGGCTTAAAATAGAACACTATTCAAAATAATTTTGACCGGATCTATGGAAAAAATTCACATTTTCTATATTTCTCAAGAAAAATGGCAAAGGAACAGTTTTCCGACATACTAAGTTAGTGTGAACAATTTGGATTGTAAGGGTAAATCTCTCGAATCTCCTCCCCGTTAACTGCTCCTTCGAAAAGTACGCCTCTATATGTCAAAAATTCTAGTTTTAAATGAAAATAAATTCGTGTTATTAATTTCGTATACAAATTATGTCTAGCAAATTTAGACCACGCGGATCTTTTTTTTGGACAATACACCACATAAGAGTTTTGGCACTTCATGACAAAGATATCGGAAGAATAATAAAATCTTTAACAAAAACGTACTAATATTGTTGTACATGGAAATCTTCTCGATAGTTTATCATGAAAATACTGAAAAATAGCATTGGGTATTTTATGTTGGCCTTGCACGACTATAATGTTTTTATTTGTTCCATTCTTTGAAAAATTTATACTTCTTACTATTATTGCATTTTAATTGGCTCCAAAATTTTACTGCAGCTGTTATTTCTATAGCTTAAGAAATTTTGAATTTTTCGGGCTTCAGCTTTCTTTTAAATTGCTGTTGCGAGTTTCGTTAAGAATTTTGTGATGAGAATTCAAATTTGTCCGATATAGTATGTTATAAGAATGGGACGCATGACTTACTTACTAAACATGCTAATGTAGGTGTCAACACATTCATTATTTGGTTGTTAATTTTACGGGAAATTAAAGAATTTAAAAAGTAATTTATGCGATTTATTTACCTTAACACATTTAACACCGATTTCGTGACTTTAAACTGAAATTGGAGCACATACCAATTTAATACAAATTTTATAAATCAATGCTTTACCCATTTTCCTTTGTGTCGAATATTCGAAGTGCGTCGACTACACTACGGTTAATATAGTTATATGTATAGCCATACATTAATCACCAGAAAAATTTGGAAGAATGGGGGCACTCCATGACGAGAGTATTTGGCGGATATAAATAAAAAAGTAAAGTGTCTATTAACTTTAAACTGCTACATAATTTAAGTGAAGCGATAACAAAAATGAATGACCCACAAAATTAAAATTGTTTTATATAATTTCAATAATAACTTAATTTTTTGTTTTTTTTATTAAAACTTTGATATCGTGCACCATCTACAGGAGGCTAACGATCACTGCACGCCATCCCCATGCTTGCAAGGACGTTGTTTAAATACACCCGGCAGTTATTATTGTCATTGCCCGTCTGGTAGAGCGGGCAAACACTGTGAAAAAAATAGAACATTATGCACTCAACCGCATTGCAATGGTAAAAATTGAAATGAAAAATTTATTTGAAATTTGAAAAACAAAACTTATTCGAATTCGCAGAAGGATGCTTTTTAAATGCCACCGTTGCCACACAGACTATGCCGTGTAGTGGGCATGGTACCTGTGAAATGGGAGATGTCGGCACATTTTGTAAATGCCACACAGGTTACACAGGAACATTCTGCGAACACAGTACGTATAAAGTATTTACTAATATTCCGTCATAAACCTACAAAAGGTTATGATTTACATGTGAGTCAGTCAGGCGGAACAGTACTGATTTTGATTGAACAAATTTCAATTATATTATTGTCTATATATATGAACGACTAAAGAAGTTATATTCGACTACAGGCGAATCGCGCATGCTCACCTCCATTTAAATCTTTATCGCCACACGATTTTATTTATTGTCAAGGGATAACATTTATCTTTCGTCTTCTTTTTCGCTAAAAAGTAATATTAAAAAAAATTAATCTACGAACATTTTTATTTTAGAATTAACACACTTAACTCTTCGCACTTTACTCTCCAAACCCTTTTACTTGATACCGGTATTTTTAAGAGAATGTTAATCCACCACGTTGCGGTGTCCACCATATCTATTTTAGAATTAATGCACACTTCGGCAGACGATATATATAACATTCATTTGAGGAATGTACAAAATAATTCTAAACAGTCTGTATTGTTTTTAATAATAAGCATAAAAACTCAAAGAAACGGAGAAATGGAGTTGCATTCACTTTACGCTTTGCCGCAGACGTGGATTCTAACTTGGTCCATTTTCAATACCAATCTATATGCAGAAACTTCCAATGTTTCTACCAAATTCGAAATCGATACCTTCATTTTTACGACCAAGAAAATATCAATAAGGCACATCACTGAAAAAGAATACATCCACCTTATAGGGTCCCTGAAGATCCCTTTTGGTCGTTGTAAACATTATAACAAAATGAGTATACGCCCTTTTTCGGTGGTGGGTACAAAAAAGGAGGTATTTAGAGACTTGAAAAGCCGTACGAAAAAAGAATATAAGGAAAGGAATAAAAGTACAGAGATGCAGTTGAATTCGGAGAAAATTTCAAATTAAATTTTCTTATAAATCTATTTTGTTAAATTAAAGTTAAACGGAATGCGACGAAGGAGAAGTTTTTTCGTAAAAATTGTAAAAGACTATATATGTTTACACTCATTTGAAAATGCATTTTCAATCTGAAAAAGTTGCTGATCTATTTAGGAGGATGATGCTTAAAAAACGATTTATTTCAAATATATTGCTCGAAAAATTTCTCAATTGTTTTTATAAGGCCTAATAAATGTTCTTTTTTTTCGTTTCACAAAACAGATTTAAACGAATGCACTCCTAATCCTTGTCGAAATGGAGGCATATGTCTGGATGGAGATGGAGATTTCACTTGCGAATGTCCTTCCGGGTGGGCTGGTAAGATTAATTTCTAGCACACATATAAATCGATTACTGCGTATCAAAAGCTTTAAAATTCATTCCTTTAACTATTTCTTCTTGATATTTAAAAACTTTAGAAGAAAATATCATTTATAATCAATGATCGCACATTAGTGCAATCAGTTGTCGTATGTTTATGTACAACAGTTTGTACCATACACAAATAACATTATCATTAGCGAAGAGAATATAGATTTGCTAGCACTTCGTTATGTTTTCACATACCTGGGGCAAACCGACATCAGCGCTGAATAGTTTTGCTTGGGGGTGTTGAAAACTTCAAACTTTTCTGAATTATTTGAAAGAAGTTAATCTAGTTCTGACTTAAATTTTTATATAACGTACAACAAATGAAAAAAACAATTAGTCGATTAAATCCGAAAGCTTGTTAAAGTTATCTATTTTATTAGTTTCAAATTTGCATAGCTTATAACGTTTATTTCCAATTTGCTCCGGTTGGTTGCTAATGAAAGCCAACATTGTTCTTTGTCAGTTAAAGTTTAATTATATTTATTAATCGATGCTTTTAATGCCTAAACATTTTTTTTTTTTTTTTTTTTTTGATACCTAAATAGTAGGAGATAGAGAGTTGTTGCCATTGAGCATCAACAAATTTCTATAGAAACTTAAAACTAAATTTATAATCTGTCAATTTTCGTTTTAATTAGCTCGAAGACATACGATAAATTACCAATAATTAAATATATCGAGCAGAAGATGAGTCAAAAAGACAAAGAGTGTTTGTTTCACGTTAAATTATTGTAGAAACACGAGGTATTCAAACATCAAAGCAAACCTTCAAATGGCTTAACTACTTTCAATCAAAATTTGGTATGTATATATGTATATATGATTTGTACATGTGTTCATGCACATACATGTATACATATATATATATATATATATATATATGTATATATATATATATAAGATTTTTAAGGTGAATTACCCAAAGAGTTTACGCATACATTTTTATATTCGCCAACATAATTTACTGAGCTAACATAATCTATCAAGCAGGGAGACGTTCACATACGTACGGTCTAACAGTCCTTTCGTGCATGCATTCATATGAAGAACATTTGTAAAGTTTCCAACATTTGCTTACACATAAGACATTAGTGTTTCGGTGAAGAAGGGATTGGATATTTTTTCGGTTAAATGTGCATGCAATCGATAAGTCGATGTCTTGCAGTATATTGAGCTAGCTCTGTTTTTTTCACGTTTTTAGCTAAAACAACTCCTCTTGAAGCTGGCTTAAAATCAAGCAAAGAGTACAGAATTTAGTTTTAATTTTTTTTTGTCGTGTATACGCCTATCAACGCTGACACTGCTGCTGTAGATATCATGCATACATTTATGTACATGTATGCATGGTAGTGGTAGTGGCAAGTTAAAATGTTTTAGTTGCTATAAAACGATGGCTGAATGAGTTTTTATAGGCACGATAGCGAATTTTGTTATATGTATACCTGTAAGTATTGACGTATTTATAAATGTACACTTGCTAAAAACCGTTGCGAACAATCTTTCGCAGTCTTGTATTGCTCTTAACACGCATCAACCGTACATATAGGCACATAAACACACATACATATGTATATCCGTATATACACATACACATAAGAATCAACTAAACACTCTCCCAAGCATAACTCGCATATTCCTCGCATTTCAGTTTCAACGAATGTTTATAATGTGAGCCTGTATGAATGTAGACTTGTTACTAAATGTACTTGTCTTTCGATTTGCTTACGTTTGTAACCAAAAACTATCAACAGCAACAGTAGCAGCAGGTTGCTTGCTAAGACCCTTTGGCAAAAAACAAAAGAGAAGGAATAAAATATAAGAAAATCAAAACTTTAAATAAAAGCCAAAAAAAAAATTTAAAATATTTTAATTAAAAATTCCTAATCGTGTGTGAAGTATTTTTATCTGATTGCTAAAGCCAAAACGAGCCAGCGACTTAGTCATCTTTATAGTATTCACAGAGGTATATACATCCAAAAGCAATTCAATATATTGTACGAAAATGGAAGGCTTGCGTTTTTTACCGGTGTTGTGTGTTGTGATGTACGGTGGTGATGCTATTTCTTTCTTGAAATATACATGCATATGTATGTTGTACGAATAATGTCGTGTTGCTTGTAAAACGCGAAAGCGAATTAATATGAAACTTAAAGATCGCGTTTCCACCACACAACAATTGCAACAACAATAACATTTGTATGTAACATGTCTATACTCACCAAAACGAAAAAAGAGCTGAAGCAGAAAGATTTCGTGTCTTATTCGCGCGGGCTAATGTTGCGGACATCTTCTTGTCCCTCGTTTGCTTTCTTTTTCTCTTTTTACTTTAAAAACTAATACTGGGCGATTATTGACAGCAGCAACCGCTGCAACAGGAAGGATGCGTTCTTTACTAGACTATAATAAATTGCCTTTCTGTGTGTGCTGTTTGTGTCGTTGTCGTTGTCGTTGTTGTCTTGGTCTTGGTTACTCCAAGATACAAATCAGCGTTTACAAATAGATGCTTTTGCCAGTTATATGTGAAATTCCAAAATGAAAATAAGTGTACGGCAAAAAAAGGTGTCGAAATCAGCCATTGGCAAGTGTGAAAATTTAAATTGTAATTGAATTGTTGCTGCAGGATACTTTTTTAAAGAACTTTAAGAACACCAACTTTAAAACTAATGGTTTCACATTGAATTGAAAGATAAGCAGAAGTTAGAGACTGAGAGCGAAATTAATTGATCTAATAAAAAAGAGTTGTTAGGTTAAGTCTGTTCGGCTCTTTAAAACCCTATAAAATAAAAAAATAATATCTTAATATTATTATTATGTATATGTTAAAGCGCTCTTTCTGAAAGAAAAAATTCGCCTCCTCTATATGGACCAACTAACTATAATGAGAATCTTGTTATAATACTTACCAAAACGGATAATTCGCTCTTGTCCGAGTCCCCACATTCCAGGTCGTCTAGATTTTCTTCATCAATTTAGCTATAACACTTTCTTTATGAATCTTTTTTGTCGCTAGATGAACAAGCCACGCAAATTCATTGCAAATTGGCATTGTATCGTAATGCAGTGAAAAATTATTTATAATGCTAATAATGGATACAGTTACATTGATTTTTTCACTATTCTTATTAATTTTAGGCAAACGATGTTCCGAACGTGCCACCTTGTGTTTTGATGGCCAATGCCAGAATGGTGGTACCTGCATGCGCGACACTTCCCGTAAAGTACTTGCCCGGGCAGGACAATGCCGCTGCGCACCTGGTTGGGAAGGTACATATTGCACTGAGTCGATAGATCAATGTCGTGGTCAACCTTGCCATAACGGCGGCACTTGCGAGTCAGGGCCAGGTTGGTTTCGTTGTGTTTGCGCTAAGGGTTTTTCGGGACCGGACTGCCGCATTAACGTCAACGAATGCTCTCCCCAACCTTGCCAAGGTGGCGCCACTTGCATTGACGGTATTGGCGGATTCACTTGTATATGTCCCGCAGGACGTCATGGCTTGCGATGTGAGATATGTAAGTACTTTATACTTCCTTTATTTTCCCTCATGCAATTAAACATCACCACTCAAATAATTCCAGTGCTTTCCGATCCTAAGTCAGCTTGTTTGAATGCCACTTTAACAATCTCACCATATTCACCACTCAATAATAGTCAAGATATATTGACTCAAATTCTAATCGGGCATACCGACGAATATTGCAATGCGTGTTTATGCGAAAACGGCACTTCACGTTGCTCTAATTTATGGTGCGGCTTAGCAAATTGTTTTGAAAGTGAAGGATCTCCAAAATCCCCGGGATCTTGTAAACAACACGAAGTTTGTGTGCCGTCACTAAACGAAAATTGCCTTAAAGGGCCTTGCCTACTAAGAGGAGACTGTAGAGCTTTAGAACCTTCGCATCGTGTGGCACCGCCACGGCTGCCAGCTCAGTCCGATTGTTGGCCAAATCAAGCTACCTTAAAGGACAATTGTGCTCGTTTAACCATTCTATTGGATAGACCACGACTCAATTCCGGAGCTTCGGTAGAAGGTTTATGTTCTGTATTAAGGTTTCTGTTAGCTTCACGACTAATTGCTCTATCAAAAAGCGACAATGAAGGCATGCTAATTGTTATTTGTGATCTGAAAGCTGGCACTAATGATACTATAGAAGTGACAGTGGTAGGTTGGAATACTTTCGAAATAATCAGATTTTTAAGAAATCAAGTTTTTTAAATATTTTTCAGTCTTCTACTAAGCCCAACGATGACCAGTTGCCTGTAGCCGTAAGCCTTTTGGGCGAATTGCTATCGTCGCGTCAATTGACCACGTTACACCCGAAAACCGATTTGAAAAAGGTTAAACTAGCAGCTCTGGTATCTATACTGGAAGTCAAAGTTGAAACTGCTTTGGTATCTGAAGGCAATAGCAATAGTTTACTGATTGGTATACTTTGCGGTATTTTCATTGTGCTGATCGGTTTGGCTATATTTGTTAGCCTCTTCTGGCGCCAGCGCATTGTAATAAATTCTTCGTCAGGCATTAACTTGGCTCCTTCCTTAGATGCGTTGCGTCATGAAGAGGAGAAATCCAATAATTTACAAAACGAAGAAAATTTGAGACGTTACACAAATCCTTTGAAAGCTTCAACCACTTCTTTGGGTCGTGTTAATGGCATGGAATTAAGTTTGAATCCGGCTCCCGAACTGACTACAGTAAGCTCTTTGGCCAACACCTCGGCTTCCAGTTCAGCTATACATCGTTCACAACCTTTATATCCAGCTTGCGAATCCAATTTTGATCGTGAATTGGAAGTTAGCGGTGTTGTAACTAGCAAAGCTAAAGAATTTCAGTCTAAACGAAGCTCGCAAATACTTCTACATAAAACACAAAATACGGACATGAAGAAGAACACAGTCGGGTCCATAGATAGTCCGCGCAAAGACTTTGGTAAACGTTCGATCAATTGCAAATCAATGCCTCCACAAATCGGAGCGGGGAGGGGGGGAGGCTCAACAACGACTATTACAACATCTACAACAACCATCACACCAACTACGGCAGCAACCTATGATGACTCCGAGGTATTAACAGTTTTAGTGTAGTATTTGAGGCATGTTGTTGTTGTTGGGATATATTATTAGAAATATAGTTTGTTTTTATCGCTCGCTCAAGCGTTAGTGCCTAATGAGAAATTTTTAGAACTTTGATAATAATGTGATTAGTGAAAGTAAAAGTGCATTTGAAAAAACAGAGTGATTTATAAATGGAGTTCATTTCCAATGAGGAAGTAGTAAAAGGATTGCAAAAGGCATAATGCATTCAATGCTACAGAGGTTGAAAGTAGATGAGTAGACGAGTTCACCAAAAGATTCTGATTATAACTTCAAAAAGCTATCTATTAACGAAAATTAAATAAACAATTGGTCGGCAACCCTAATTGAACTCTTGTAACAGATAGTTAGATATTTGCAATGATCTCAAACAATTTGCCAGATTTTTTAGAGACATATGAAAACGGACAATAAAAATTGTAAAGCAAAAGTAGAAATTAAAATCTAAACCTGAAATTTCTATCGAAAATACGAATTTTTAACATATTCCTCGCAGTGTAAGTGCATTTATAAGAACCGCCGTTCGTAGAATTATTCCCTAAACATCAAAAGCTATTTCGATATTCATTTATTTAACCGGTTGCTAAGAATTATGAATAACGCACGTTCACAAAACGAGCTGTATTTTCAAACAAAAGACACAAATTATTTACTTAAATAAAAAATATAATATTTACAAACGTCGTTAAGAAATTTGTAATTTTTTTCAGAAAGAAGTTTAGATAGTATTTATAAGTTTTAGTATCTTTAACAATAATTCTTTGAAAAAATTATGTAGAAAATAAAATTATTTAGACATTTAACGAAAATTGAAAAAAAAAAAATTAAATCCTACACAGTGTGATATTAAAAATATATAAATAATTTGTTTATTTTGCTCTTCTACAAGTAATTAATTTTAAGCATAAAGGTAGAAATAGTTTTTCTATTTTTTAGAATTAAAATGACATGTAAGTAAAGTAAGTAAATTTACTAGATTTGTATATATCGTGTAAAAAGCTTAATTATGTAACTTAATTTAATTATTATATACAATTCGATATGTTTACATGTTTTTTCTTTTCATTTCATTTGTAAGTAGTTTATGAATTAAAATTCGCGTGTAATTAATTATGTAAATGTTTTTAGAGTTTCTTTAGTATGGGTTCTTAAAAGAACATCGATGTGCTAATATTTAAGTGGCAATTTTTTTAACTTTTTACGATTAGTTATATTAGTTCTTTATTTATTTCATTAAATAAAATACGCGTTTTTGTACGAAGACAGTTGCTATAGATAATTGGAAAAGATCATAAAGTCAACTACGAAAAGAATGACTCTCTCATTTAACGATATTGGCAAAAGACAGAGATTAGAATTAGACAAAAATTCTAACCCAATCCTTCTGCAGACTTGAAAATATGTAAAATAAATTCTAAGCAAGCAAAATTTAAGCGTTTAAAGCAGATTTCAGGACAAAGGCAGGACAAAGATATAGTCATGAGAGCAAAGTAGCTAAATAGCAAAAACTAAACTAAACATGTGCGCAAAATGCAACAAAGAAAGCAGTCTATTTCGCTTGTTAGCTGAGCCATACAGCCCCTGGGACTAATGCTTCCAAAAAGATATTCACATTCTTCTTGCGATGTCTTTACATCATCCGGTAGTTCCACTTAATTCATCCTAGATATACAACATCCTAGATATACGACATAATTTGTGCCTTAGATTTAAAACAAAAAATTTTATTAATTAGTTATAATCTATCAGCCACAAAAACATTGGATTTTTAAAGATTTAAAGTAGTGCGGCAACCCTACAGGAAACCGTCAGCTTATTTCTACAGCTTTCAGCTTTACAGCGTTTTATAACACTGGACAGCCTAAATTTTATAGCGACGTATGAAAATATGCAACGCAGAATAAACAACATCTGATGTCAAAGTGAATATTAACAAGAGAGAAGCGAAACTTATATTAAAAAATCTTAAAGGTTGAAATATAGTTAATTTTTTTAATGTACAGTGTGATATATTCAATGGAAATGTTGCAGTCGATAAGAAAATACTCGATAAACTTCTATATACATTATAAACTCGTTACGAGGATTTCATTACGTGATAAGTTTTTGTTTAATGCTAAGAAGTTGGTTGACATATATATGGCAGTAAGATTTTATTAGGATTTTTTAATATCACCCAAGTGGGGATTGTAATCACTTCTCACAGTACCCAAAATATCTTTCTTTTATTCCGCGTTCCTTTGCCCACTTAAGGTTTATGAAAAACATCTTAGTACATACATAAACGTCAACATGTATGATGCCACATCAGACATTACGAACGATTGAGAAAAATTATTCCTGGAAAGATAGCGTATGGGGAATAATATCATAAGAATTTTATATACGGTTGATATATTGCTACTCTCGATCCACAAAACACGTCAAAGCTCATTGAATCGTTTTTCTTCCAAACGGTCGTTCGACCTTTTCTGCAATATGTTTTTATTACAGTTCTACTATCAGAGCAACTCTGGCCGTTGCGCTGCCGTTATTGTCAAATTGTAAAAAAAATGAAATATAAAATAACATGTTGATTGGTAGGCGTTGAAGCCTAGACGTTTCGTTAAGAGATAACATACGGAGACGCGCGAATGGTTGTGACATGGAGCAAAGTGTAGATTTACTATATTCGCAACTGAAGAAAAATATATATGTATATTTGAAATTATAATTATGTATGGGCTGCATTTTTTGTGTTTGATTCCATTTTTTGCCTTTAGCTGCTTTAACATTGTCTGTTTTATTACAGCTGTCATAAATTCATCAAAGAAACCATCTCACTCCTTGCCGGGAACGCGTTTCTGACGCAAACCAACAGAGGGTATTCAAAGAGATCATAACTGTTTGTAACATATTTTCAAAGAGAGTACAAAAAATGCTGCAGTTGGTAAGAAAATCCTTGATAAGCTTATATATGCAATACGAACTCGTGACGTGCATTTCAATGTTTGAGCCATGGGAGAAAAAATTAATAAGTAAGGAAAACTACATTTCCTTATTTCCAAATAAATTATTTATTATACTAAATTTTTACAGACAGCATTGTAGTTGTGATATTAAGTTTGGTAATATTCTCCAGTTTTGTATATTTGCCTTCATATATTCAAACGTTTTTCCATTTCCTTTCACCGCTACCGAGTAATAATTCGCCCAATTACGCTACTATACTGACCGAAAAGATAAGTATAAATTAGATTAGACTTTAAATATATTACATTTTTAAGACTTTTCTGTAACGAAATGCTCCTGAATCAGATGAAAATAAAGCGTTATAACGGAATAAAACATATGATCGCGCTAGATGTAATGAATTTATTAGATGTTTATTCCAATTTGGTCATTAATTTTTCTTCGTTTTTGCCTTCCTTTATTGCTACTGCATATACATAATGTTAATTTCATTAAATAAGGCACAATATAATATAATGTTTTTAATGTAAAGCGACTGATAGCGAATTAATTAAATGTAGACATCTCTCTTCTATGGAAGTACACAATTTTACAGACTCAGGCGTTTATTTCATGTACTCCTTTAAGCTATCAAAACAGATGTAAGGAAAATTCTTTAAAATGCTCCATGAAAAATTTTGGTATTAAAAAGTTCTTGTAAACTAATGTAGATTAATTAGGAAAATTGGTTCACCTGAATATTACATTGTATGGAGCATCAAATGTCAAAAAAAAAATAAATAAATAAATATATATTTTAAACTATATTGGTAGTAATCCAAGGCATAAACGTAATGACATTTGTGTAGAGACCTGGAAGTAATTTTGTTAAATCGCAGGCGACGCCACCAAATGAGACGATTCCATATTGTATAAATCTTTTCTTTAAATCTTGATAAGGAGCCAACTGAAAAAGGGGACCGCCACTGTCACCTATTAATTATAAATAACTTTATTATTTTTGACTTATTTAAAGACTTAACGATGTTGTTTGCACCTTTGCACGTGTCGCGACCAGTTTCTAAATCGCCGGCGCAGATATGTTTTAAATTAACCTCTAATCGAAATTGATTTGCACAATAAGAAAGTTTGGAAATCTTCAAAAAGGCTTTCAATAGAACATTAGACTGAGAGCCTGAAAATCATTTAGAATAAGAATTTACTTTTCCTAAAAATTAGATTTAACGCCGTATTTACCGGTTTCGGTTGTACCCCATCCAGCCACTAAAAATCTATCATTATAGTCAACATTTAGTGCATTTGGCGTCATGGGTAGGCAAATTGGATTTATCTCTTCTATAATTCACAAAGGTTTAATGTATTTGCAAATAATATGCATTCCAAACTAATAATTTGAACTTTTCAAGTATTTTAGACTTACTCCTAAACTGAACAGGTCGGTCTAATTGGAGAAGTGCTATATCATTAATTCTCTTTCTAAAATTATATTTTGGGTGAACAATAATTTTCTTTATTCCGAAATCTTCTGGCGGAGGAGCGCATTTCGTTTTTATACCCGGTTGGCAATCAATTTCTTTAGTAATATCGTGTTCCCCCAATCGTACTCCTATACTAAATATTGAGAATAAAGTAAAAGGAGACGAAATGTAATATTGAAAAAAGTAAAAAGAACAAAAGCTTACACTGGATCCGTGGACGCCAAAACGCAATGAGCGGCTGTCAAAATGTGATTATTAGTAATTAGAGTTCCACCACATTTAAATTTTTCACCGTCATATTTTAATAACGCCATCCAAGGATATTCGTTAAGTTTCGTTTCGTTACCACCTGCCAAAAAATTGCTACCAGCATAGCCACATCTAATATTGCTAAGTATTTTTAAACCTATTTTTTTAGAAAAAAAGTTTGGTTTGGTTTTTAATTCAGATCCATACGTACTGCACAAGAATTACCTTGCGCGTTTAGTTGGGAAATATAATCGAGACTATAATTAAGGTCATCAACATCCCTGCTGCTTTTCGATAGGCTGGTTGGTTTAGTACTAACCACTACTTGTTCCACTTTACAGCATAATCTCACCTGATAAATAAACGAAATAACGAAGATTAACAAGAAATCATGTTTTAAAAATACGAAGCTGAATTCCTGGAAAAATGGACTCAAAGCACAATGCAAAGAGTTTTAATTTTTAAACAAATGCTAATAAATAGCTAAGCTCACTAAGAAGTTTGATAAATTCACAATACCAGTCCTTCCTTAAAATAACTAAATTTTAAAATCTTTGCGAGTGCATATATATATATATATTATATATTGCATATGTGTTGTTGTTCTTTATATAACTTGGATAAGTTCCGTTATTCGAAAGGATCAATAGAAGTTTTCTATTTTGCGTAAAAGAAATTAAAGAGTTGTACTCAACGGAATATCGCCGTTGATACCTTTTTGCGCGGTCTGCTGCGATTAAACAAGCAAGTCGCAAGTCAAAAAAAATCTTCTATTGACCACAAACGTTTTTGAACTATTAGTGTGTTATAGGAATGTAGGAATATACTCCGGCTACACTTACCGGTTCATTACCAGTTGAGCACTTCGATCGTATTAGATAGTCCAATAAATATTGAGGAATATTATCTGCGTATTTTGCGTATAAATCATTAACAAATTGGCATTCTTTATATGATACACAACGGCCGTTTTCGTTACTCGGCGTTACACAGGTTTGCTCTAAATTATGGGAAAATTGAACAATTAAGTTTTAACTTAATGATTATGTATTCTGCTGCGTTATAAATTTCTTTAAATTAAATTTTTCGAAGTACACGTGAAGTACACATTAAGCGAATTTGATATCGCCAAGTTTGAATCGTTTCCGTGCAAATTCACTTTTTAAAGGAATACATTCAACAATCATTACTTACGAGCGTCGATCAAAAGAAAAATTGAGCTTAAAAATAAAAAACTTTTAAATAGTATTTGGCTTAAAAACATCGTTCGCGCTTATAAATGTGTGCGTGCGTCTTTTTCTTAATAGTACAATTTAAAAATTAATAAAGAAAAGTCAATAACTGCCGGTGGGTCACCATATAAGTGATTGTGGTTGCGCGAGCTTCTCCCAACTGTTTATATACGAGAGAAAATTTACTAATTTTTTGCACTGATGTTAACAACAGTGCTCGGTTTTAATTGCCTTTAGACTGGCTTTTCAACGATTTGCAAATTTTGTAATTATAACAATTCGTCGACACAAGTTGAACACTTGCAGAATCGTTTCATCAGTGAAATTTGTTTACGTTACTCATAGAATTTCAAGTAATATCGTTAATATTCTAATTAATTAAAATTAAGCAATATAATACTTTTCCATAAATTATAAAATAAAAAAATATTAGAAGGTGAAGAGTTGGAGGAAGCGGGAGAGAACAACTACTGCAACAAGAATCGCTTCCGTCTTCACCTTAGCAAACCAGATACGCATAAGAAACACCAAGTAAGTAAAATTTAACTTACTTCTCCTATACAGAATTATAGTATTATTATTGCGTTAATAAAATAAAATTTGTGCGGAATGCAATAAACCATATTCCTCGAAGTCCTGCGGACGGGTAATGGCACAAAAGGAAAATGAAAACATAAACTGAGGATAAGAAGGCTTCCTTTTAAAGCAATTTATCGAAAAGGGGTAGGAATAATGATTTAGACAATTTTAAAGCTTTTTATGCACATACTACCAATATGAATTGAGAAAGTAATTTTTTCAAGCATTAAAGTTAAAGTGTCTCAAATTCGTTTCAAACCACTATGCCTAAAGTCCAAGTCATGTAGATTGTTAGATACTTTCAGATTTTCTTTCGAAACATTTATTACATTAAACCGGTTTTCATGTATACTTTATTGCAGCTCATAACGAAATATCTTTCGTAAAAATATGAAAAAATTCTAAGGAAATTCTTCTGAAAAATATTTCCGATTAATTGATAACGAGTCTTCGCAACCGATTTTATTTAGGCAGTTGCTTGAAGCTTATGAATCACAGAAATTCAAAAAAGCGGAGAAGTTATTTTCGCTTTAGACTTTTGCAGTCATGTATATACACGCAATATGTTGCCTGTTCTTCTTTTTGTTTTTATCAATAAAAACGCAATTTTTCCAAGAAAACGGATATTTCATTCAAAACACTGCACTGGAGTTGGAAGTTATCTACACATACGCGATTTTTGTATATTGTCACAAAAATTTGGAGCTGAATCTGAATGGACAATAAGGCAGCGATTCGTAGTAGCACTATCTTTCGGGTTAAGCAAAAAAACCCATCCCCTTCTTTTGTTTGGTTTTCTTTGGCACAAATATTGATCTTTCCAAACTTTAAAAAGCTACACTTCGTACGCGTTAACAATATAAATGATGCTGTTGCGTAAAGCTTGAAGATAGTAACTCTATCTAGAGAAGTTGGCCAAATAATAATCGTCTCTTTGTCAAATTAACGTCTTGTATTTGGCTTCACAATTTCAACTGCGTTTTCAAATTAAGAAGACTTGGGTAAAATCAAATCAGCCCCTTTTAGAATTATGCGTCGAACAACTTTGCAATTATTTCGTGGGTTTGGGTCAGTTTATATCGGATTTCTGATCAATCATTATTTTGGTACTCATAATTTGTGAACGGCCGTTCTAATACAAAAAAATACAATTAATTTTCTAGGAGTTGTATTCATTAAAATTTTGTGACAATTTTATTTGTTTTACATTAAGACGAAGTTTGCAAAAATTTCCTGCGAATAATCCGTCTTCATACATAAATACGGAGACCTAGACGAATTCCTTTAAAATTAGCCGAAGCAAAAGCTGATTTCGATCGTTCGCCACAAAATCTACTTACAAAAGTCGATAATAATAAGAAAATAAAGCAATCAATTGTAGCGAAAATTTTAATTTATTCCGTTACTTCTTTGAAAATCATTTGTTTTTAACATTTGTTTATAAACAGTTTAGGTTTGCATACCAATTTACAACAAGAAAGAAAAAAAAAAAGTATATTAATTTAAGCTTAAATAATGATAAGAAAGCGGCTGACAACCTAAGTTCCTGACTTATACATTACAGACACTTATTAGATTTTTATGATCTAGGCCGTGCATGATATTTAAATTTCATATAAGTAAATTAAATAAATGAAATTTGAAAAGTTTGTTCATAAAAGTCATGGCAAAGCTTTCGTAGGTGTTTTAGGCGCGTCTTCCTACAATTTTTCAAAAATCTTTGAACGTTGAAGGTGGTTTTATTTAAATATAACATAAGGATATCTGTTTGGTTATTTGGTTGACTCCGCGACTTAACTGTAGGGTTTGAGTAAATAATAAACAATATGTTCAGTAATTGCTAAACAATATGTTCAGTAATCCAAGGCATATATGTCACGATATTAGTAAAAATGCTAGGCAAAAGATAACGGAAATCACAGGCCGTCCCTCCCGCTGCTACTATGCCATATTGTATGAATTTCTTAAACCGTTTATATGCATTCAACTGAAATAAAGGACCTCCACTGTCACCCTTGCAAGTGTCGTGACCATTCTCTATATCACCGGCGCATAATTGCTTTTCACTCAGCACGATTTTAAAAGCATTGCCGCAAACCGAATGATTATATCGCTGCACGAAAGCTTTGAGCAATAAACTCGATTGCGAACCTATTAAATAGATAATTACTTCATTTGCGGTAAATATTTGCAGTAACAAAGATACCCGCTTCAGTCGCTCCCCAACCAGCCACAAAGATTTTCTCATTAATGTTTACTTCCATGGAACGTTGTGTCGCCGGTAAGCAGATCGGTTTAATGTGTGCTAGAACATTTTTTTTTGATTAATTTCAAAAAATGGATTTAATAATTTTGTGCGCATACCTTTAAACTCCACTTTTCTATCGAGTTTCACAAGAGCCACGTCATTGCTGGTAGATCGGACGGTATATTTCGGGTGGATTATAATACGTTCCACACCGAAATTTTCCACCGGTGGCGCACAAAATTCTTTCGTGCCCCTTTGCTCACAATCAACATCGTTGGACAGATCATGTTCTCCTAAGCGAACACCAATACTTAGAAGAAGATATTTTCTATCATTTTATGTAACAAATGTTTTAGTCTGACATAACTTACATTGGATCGGGTGTTTTTGCGCAATGAGCAGCTGTAAGGACATAAAAATTGGTTATCAACGAACCTCCGCATTTAAATTCATTGCTCGGGCTGTCATAGCGTAACAATGCCATCCAGGGAAATTCATTCAAATTCGTCTCTTCACCCCCTAGTACGCGATTGCTATTGGAATCACCGCAGGTCAGGTTATTAAGAATGTTTAAACCTTTCCGTACAATAAGAAAACACAAGAAAAAGGAAAAATAAATCGAAATAAACTTTTTCAATGGAATGGGTGGGCTATTAATCAAGAACTATCTACCGCACCTTCCGTGTTCAATTGCGAAACAAAATCACGATTATAGTCAGTGTCTTCTACGAATTTACCCACTGTTTTCAGTAAAGCTGGTTCAACCAAAGCAGCAACTTGTTCAACTTCTTCAGGTTTACAGCATATACGTATCTGTAGTCCATGTGCGTACATTTACATTTTGGCTTTTGTTAAACATTTATGTAGTGGCGATTAAGTACGAACTTACCGGTTCTGTATCCTTTGAGCACTTTGAACGAGTTATATAACTAATGTGATGGCTCGGAATTCGATCTTGATATTTTTCGAACAAATCAGTAATGAATTTACACTGATTGAAAGGGACACATACACCCTGCTCGTAGCTCGGTAATTGACAAGATTCTTCTATAATTACACATCAACTAAGTAACAAGCACGTGATGTGCATTGGGAGTTCTACATACCTGCTTTAGTAATTTCAAACTTTAAGTGTAAATAACAAATTAAAAGTGTACATAAAATATTTTTTTCTAATTCCATGGTTTGTTTGCTTTTAAATAATTTAAATAGGAAATCTCAAGCAACAAATGCCGCGGTAACGATACGCTTTACAAGTCTGGACTATCACTGCGGAAAGATTATGAAAATTGTATTTTATAAAAATAATATAATGTTTTCAGTTTACCGTACATATATACTTGTTTTATCTACGGAAGCCATGAATTATTTAAATATTTTTGCAATTAAAAACTTGCCATTCAATAGAATTCTAAATATGTTCATTAAGTAACTCATTTTTCTGTAAAGTAATTTTCTTGCACTCACTAACCTGTTACTGACGATTGAAATAAACCGCCTTCGGGCAAAATGTCGATGATCTAAGATAAATGTAGCTCTTTTTACTATTTAGAAATCAGCTGGAGATGTATGTACGAAAGGAATGATAAAGCTAACATGTCCATAATTTGCTCTGCGGGTTACAGAAAAATCCCATAACATGATCATGTGTCATCCTAAACTCAAAAAATGGAAAGTTTTTTTTTGCATAAAACGTAAGGTGTGACGTTATCCTAATTTAAAATAAGCACAAGAATCGTACAGCTGGACAAAGCCCGACTGTTAGCTACCCTACACCACCTCATTTAATTAACAGCAAACGTTATACATTATTTGTATGTAAATGTATAATTTTAATGAAAGTCCTCAAAGGTTTTGCCATTTTCCAGTTGCTTTCGTTATAACAAACAACAAATTAGGCTTTATCATCCTAGAAGGGTTTGCTTTCATAAGAGTTCTATATACTGTGCGGTCGAAAAAATAGATCTTTGTGATCTAAATTCTCTATGATTGATTTACTAAGAATAAATTTTTATCATAAATTCATTAAAACGTTTACTTGGGTTCCAAAAAGTAGGTTTTCATAGTCCAAATTGGCTAAAATTAATTTTTATGTCAAATTATTGCTATGAACAAATTTTCATCAAAAAATATTGAAAATTAGGCGACTTCGCTATATAATTGTTCGATTTTTGTAGGGCGGTCATATGACAAGAGGGCCAAACAATTTCCCCGTCCGATCCAAAGCTTTCACGCCAATTAAGAGTGCCGAAATATTACTAAGCGATTTTTGTTAAGAAAGTCTAACAATGACATTATTTTTTCTTATAACGACTTATCAAATATGCGACTTCTAGGTTGAACAGCAGAGGGGCGAGCGGAGGGATAAGTATAATAAAAGGCTGGCTATCTAAAGTCCTTCTTGGTATCATGTGCGTCCGCAGAAAGGGGTAAAATTATCCTAAATTAAAACTGTATAAACGATAACATCGTCGTAAATTAAAACAAAAAGCTTTTGTTTCTTCCCAAAAACTATCGTCTTAAATCGAAAAAATTAAATTTTCGTTATTTGCCAAAAATGTAAATGTTAATATCGTCCTATATTGAAAAAAAACAAAAATTTCTCGGTTTTCCTTAATCGGAAGGGGTGACATCGTTCTAACTCTAAAAAATTCCTAAAGAGAAAAAATTTTTGTTTTTGCTCAGAATAGGGCGATTATTTGCAAGCTTTCTTTCGGTTACCAGTTCATTAGATCGAGAAATTTAGAAATTTGGACTACAAGCTCTCACACTCGCGCTTCGCAATTTTTGCAACTTTTAACTGTCAACACGCAGATAGACGGACCAATTAGTTTACATCTTCCGCTCTATACATTAAAGCAAGTACAAATTTTAATGTTAATAAATTTAATTTATTTAAACAATAATTCCTAAACTATCTATTATTGTTTTTAAATTTTTTTAAAAACCTTCTTTTGCAACAAATATTTTTTTGTGAAATAATTGCATAACAATACCATTTCCTACCTTGATCCCGTATTGATCTCGGCAAAATGATGTGACATCAAATTTATGCTTTACTTTTTTTTCTTAATGTTTATTCCCCAAAGTTAAGTACAGATATCGCGACGTTGTCAATTACATGATGTTGAAGAAAATGCACTCACCAACAATTTCTGATATGACATCATAAAAACCGACGTAGCACCTACCGCGGCCGACACTGCACCGATGCCGATGCTTGTATTGTAAGTCAGTTTAGTCTATTTAATTTTTTTTGTCCCCGATGAGTGGCTAAGCGCGAGCTGCCACCGCCGTGGCTGAGACGAAGGAGTGGGCATATGATGGCACTGTAGGTTACAGACGGTTACAGACTGACTTACGGAGGACAGACGGACGGTAGACAACCGACGGGACCTATTCATCTTTTTCTTTGTCAGGAAAATATAAATGCTCTGCAGACGAATTACAAAACAACCAAATAACAAAAAAAGCTGTTTAATTATTATTTTTTTATTATTTTATTATAATATCTTTTTATATGACAT